GGACTCTGCAAGTCATCGGTAGGTGGGGATTAGGGTGCAGCAAGGTGTCCCTCCCTGGGAGACTGAAGAAGCCAAAGGCAAGGGTGCCCCACAGAGCGCCACACAGGAGCTAAGGCAACTCAGCGTGCAGAGAGCAACCTTTGGATCCTAAAACCATAGCGTGGGGCAGAAAGAGCACCAACAGAGCCAGGACTAGAACACGATGCTGATAGTGTATAGAAACAGCGACACACACACAGACACACACACACACACACACACACACACATCCCAAACCAACCACAAACAGACACCTTGAGAAATTCATTATAGATTGGATATTTGATAATATCAGGTATCATTGCTCATTTTGTTGGGTGCGATGGTGGCCTGCAGCTGGTAAGGAAATGTTCGGTGTCAGTGGGAGGGTGCCCAGCTGAAGGGTACAGCGGTGCAATGGCACGGCATCCGAGATTCATTTGGAAACATTTCAGAAAGGTGAAACAAACAAATGTGTTTTAGGCAAAGACGAAAGCAAGATTTCAAGACAAAGTTTTGATAATTTTTGAGTCTGGGAGATAAACATACGGGGGTTTGTTGCACTATTGTGTCTACTTTTCCGTGTGAATTAAAAACACCATAATAAAATGTGAAACAGCCTCAGTAACATGTGTTCGAGAATGTGGTCACACAAAAGGATATGCGTTAAACGTTAGAGTGGCTGCCTACGGAGGGAGAGGGATGAGGAGTAGGGGGCGGAGACAAAAAAGAAGGAAGGGCGAAGGAAGGAAAGAAGGGAAGAAAGAAGAATGGTCAGTGATAATCTATCCTGAACTGAGGATGATGAATTTAACCCTTTGCACCGGAAGCCCAGGCGAAGGAGGGAAAATATCCCCTATAACTCTACCACTGTGGTGTTTTCATATTTCCCGTCTAAGCCTCTAAACCTCATTCCTGTGCACACTTTCCTTTTCTGCATGGCTGTCACCTTGACGGTCACAGCACTTCATGCTTTGCTTAAGAAACAGGAATAAGCATTTTGCTTACTAAATGCCAGCACCTGAGGGACACCTGGGGTCTCGGTTGCGCGTCCAACTTCAGCTCAGGTCATGATCTTGCTGTTTGTGGGCTCGAGCCCCATGTCAGGCTCTGTGCTGACAGCTCAGAGCCTGGAGCCTGCTTCTGATTCCGCGTCTCCCTCTCTCTCTGCCCCGCCCCCACTTGTGCACTGTCTCTGTCTCTCTCTCAAAAGTAAATAAACATTAAAATAAAATAAAATAAATGCCAACACTGGGCTAGGACCTCGATGTGGGTGATCTCAATTTATTCTCTCAGTAACACTGTGAGGTCAGTATCATTACCATCATTTTACAGATAGAGATGACATTTTCTGTCCTTCTCCTAGTAAATCACAAAGCTGGAATTCCAAACTCACTGGCCTTGGAGGCCCAGGATCATGTGATTACACCAAGCTGATCCAGCAGCTGCTTCATCGTCATTATTATTATGTGGGTTTTTCTTTTTCCTAAGTAGGCTCTTGAACCAACAACTCCAAGATCAAGAGTTGCATGCTCTACCGACCCAGCCAGTCAGGTGCCCCTCATCATTATTTTTTTTAACGTGTATTTATTTTTGAGAGAGAGAGAGACAGCGTGAGCGGGAGAGGGGCAGAGAGAGAGGGAGACACAAAATTGGAAGCAGGCTCCAGGCTCTGAGCGGTCAGCACAGAGCTTGATATGGGACTCGAACCCAAGAATCTTGAGATCACAACCTGAGAGGAAGTCAGATGCTCAACCTACTGACAGGTCTACCTATCGGTCTACTATATTGAGGTGGGGTGATTTGCTATAATTTACTAACCACTCCCTTATTACAGAGTATTTGGCCTCTTTCTAGTTTGTTTGTTTGTTTTTTTTTTTTGTTACCATAGATAGACCTATAACAAAATAGCACCCAGGGTTACCTGGGTGACTCAGTTAGTTAAGCGACTGTCTCTTGATTTATGCTCAGGTCATAATTCCAGGGTCGTGGGATGCTGAGCATGGACCTTGCTTAAGATTCTCTCTCTTCCTCTGTCCCCTCTTCTCTGCTCTCTCCTCTCTCTCTCTCAAAAAAAAAATCTTCATGTATAAGAGTACCTAGTTAGCTCAGTCAGTGGAGCCTGTAACTCTTGACCTTGGGGTCCTGAATTTGAACCCCATGTGTAGAGTTTACTTAAAATTTTAAAAATATTTTAAAAAAAAGAGAGGGAGAGAATATCTTCAGGTATATAGCTTTTGGATTCTGTTGAATTATTCTCATGCCTTGAGGGGGGTTACTTTGTGTTCACACTGAAGTGTGGACCTCATTTCGGCAACTAATTCATAGTAAGGTCGTCTTCAAGAAAGGGTTGGGTGGGTGAGCAGGGTTTAAAACTGTAGAGATTTTGAGGAAGTGTCTATGGATTGGGGGGTTGGAGGGGAGCAGGACAGCTCTTAGAGGAAATGTGGGCGGTCGAGAGAGTGGGAGGCAGCGTCTATTGGGGGCGGCAGGAAACGCAAGGGGCGTAAGGCCTCAGGACAGGCAGGAAGTCCATGGAATTGATGACTGTGGTTTTCACGCTTCCCTAATGCCTTCCCTGCTCAAGGTGGCCAGTGGGGTTCTGTGAGCCCTGAGGACCGGGCCAGCTGCTGTGGGGACGTGGAGCCGCTGTTCGTAGGAGGTGGACAGCCAGGACGGCTCTCCCCGGGGCCACGGTAGCTCTCCGGCCCTTTGGCGGCTGTCCTAAGCAGCCTGGGAGGGGTCAGCTGGGGCTAGACAGCAAGTAAATATAGACGCAGGGAAGGAAGCCAGGCGGCCCAGCCCTGCGCTGACCTTTTGTTGGAAGGCTGAGAAGTGTGGGGAGGGTTTACGTGCTGGCATCCTCCTCTCTGGGGGGGGGGGCAGGGGGGGCGGTGAGTGATGTGTGGCCCAGAAGTCCCTCAGATCTGCTGGTCTTCCGCGGGGACCAGAGTGAGGGCTAGTGGCAAAAGCTGGTGAAGAGATGCTGTGACTGTGTAACTGAGACCAAGCCACATTCCCTCTCTGGCGGGGCGCCTCCAAGGGGGTGCCCACCTTGATGAGTGCAGGCGAAGGGGCTGGTTGGCCTGAAGGGATGTGGGGCCCATGGTACGGGGTGGGAGGCAGGGAGCGAGGCCTCCTTCCAGCCCCTCTCCCTACTGGGTCTTGCTCATTCTGAAGAAGGATGTCCAGAGCGTACATGTGTCTTCCCCGGCTCTCCCACTCTCTCACTGGCGTCTGGCCTTCACCCTAAGACTCAGGGCCACCAGTTGCATTGTTCCCCCCAGGACACACCCTGCCACCACCCCCCCCCCCAGCCTGGCCTACACCCCGGGTTACAGCTCTGGCCCCAGCATGCATACGATGTCTGCCGGGGCAGGCCAAGACCCCCTGGACCCCTGACTCTGGGACGGAAATTCCAGCAAGGCAGTCAGTCCACTGCAGACGCGTTTATTGGCAAAACTTATTCCCAAGCATCAAGGGGAAGCGTGCAGCAGAATGGGTGACTTTCTTTTCACTTTCCTTAGCAGTGTTCAAGGAGCAGAAGGAGGGAGAGGGCAGGGACACCCCAGAGAGGATGGCAATTCCAGCAGCTGACGTCGATTGAGCGTTTCCTCTGAGGCCTGGGCCCAGGCTGTGCTAAGCAAGCGCTTTGCACATACTGTCTCATTTAATCCTTACAGCAATCCTACAAGGTAGGTACCATTACCATCCCCATTTTACAGATGAGGAAGCTGAGGCATAGAATGGCGAAGGGGTGAGAGGCAGCCGTCAGCCTTCAACGATGCGCCCAAGAGCCTCCCATCAGGTGCCCAAGCCACCTGATTCTCCGTTTCAACCATTTCTCACCGCTTCCAGCTCTTTCCACTCTTTTTATACTTTTGTTTTGTAAAAAAAAAAAAAAAAAAAAAAAAAATAGACGATGCCCATATTCTGCAGAGCCCACTGTCTCTTACCCCTATTGGTCAAATCTGGGTTCTCCCCAAGATTCAGCTGGGGTGAGGCTGTGGGCAGTGTGCCTCTAACGGGAGGCCTGGGCATTCGTGGGAAGCCAAAGCACAATGAAAGCTCTTAGAAAACACACAAACAATAAATTACAAACCTCCCTCCCTTCCCCACATCTCATCTCACCCCACCCCCACCCAAACCTAGCACAGACTGTGCATCACCCCCCCCACCCCCCACCCCAGGGCAGAGTCTTGTCTCAGTTGCCCTGTATCTGCAGGGCCCAGGGCCCTCAGTAAATGTTTGTAGAATGAATGAACACATGACCGAGTGAGAGCACGGGAGGAGGGAGGGAGCACGTAGGAGCCCTGGGTCCCAGCCCTGACTGCGTCTTCACCTGCCCTTTGCCCTCCTCAGGACACCTCTCTCTGCCCCAGAGAAGAGGGTCCCAGAGACAGTAGTAAAGGGGAGGGGGGAGTCATCAGGGACATCTCTGGGCATGGGAAGGTGGGTGATTGAAGTAGAGCATAGGGCTCTGGCCTCAGAGTCGGGAGACCTGGTTCAAACCCCTGCTGTATGGCTCAGGAGCTGTGTGACCTTGGGCCCGCCTGAAGAAGTATGATAGCTATCATATGAACAGTCCTTTCAGAGCTGACAAGGCTCTTTTTTCACATTTATCTTTGGTCCTCAATACCGTCCTGTAATGTGGGTATTATGATAAATATACCCATTTTACAGAAGGGGAAGCAGAGGCTGGAGAAGCCAGGGGACTTGCCCAAGGTCACACAGCGTGCAGGAACTTGAACCTCAACCCCCCACCCCCCCACCTCCCTTGCCACTGCCCTTGTCTGTACTGGATGTGAAGAGGTTGGCTCAGTCCTCCAGCTTGGGAGCCCCACGTGGCATTGTGGCAGCAGGAGGGGACTGCACGGTGAATTTCCTAGTGTGGACCCTTTCGGCCATCTCCAGCCATAAAAGCTGGTTTACTATTCACCCCTTCCACCCCCCCACCCCCCAACCCCCCACAGCCCCAGGGCTCCAGTTGCTACCCCAGGAGGGATATGAGAGTCTATGAGATACCCATGAACTTCTGCTTTTCCTGGAAGAATGGGGAGGCGGGAAGGTGGAAGGGGCTCTGAGGCCTGGGCCTTCCCCTCACACCGGCATGGGTGCCTCGTTGTATTCATCCTGACCTTCCTCCTCATCAAAGTTTGGCTTGGCATCGTCAGCATCCAGCTGGAGGGTAGAGGAGCAGGAGAGAGGGTAAGCTTCTCGGAAGAGAGGGGCAGATGAGCCCTCCCGCCAGCGCTGAGGGTGCCTCTGGAGGGAGAGGGCCCGCCTCTGTCTGAACCTTGGACGAGTCATGTCCTGCCCCCTCAGCCCCTAGGTTTGGTCTAGATGAGCGGTCCCGGCAGGAGAAGGCCTGCAGAGGGTGGGCAGGGCACCCCTTCACCAGGGCAGCCCCCCCAGCGGCTGTCACATGGTGGAAGAATTCTCCTGGAGGGGAGATGCTCCAGAGTGACTCAGGAGGCCACAGGACGAGCCGCTCAGTGGTCGGGAGAGCCCACGTGGAACATAGCCTGTGTGCCCTTGAACTCTCTCCACTATTCCCCCCGTTACAGGTGGGTAAACCCAAGGCGTAGAGAAAGGAGGCCGCTGGCTCCGGGTCAGACACGAGGAGGGGACAGAGCTGGATCGGGACGCAGGCCCCAGACCGGGACCTTAACCACTGCGCTCTACTGCCTTCCTTTGCTTCCAGGCCCACCCCTCCTATTCTCTCAGCCCCCCTCCCCCGGGATGCCCCCTCCATGCCTCCCCCTCCCCCAGCTCTGGGGTCCCGGCCCAGCCACAGCCCTGTCTTCCCTCCCTCCCCTCACCGCCCCAGGTCTGTAGGGTAGGGGTGGGGAAGAGCCACTCACACACTGGAGCTCCAGGTCCCTGAAGATGAGAGGCAGCAGGAGCCGGCGCAGAGGCACCGTGAGAATGAGGACGAAGGGCAGGATCAGCGAGATGGACCGGAAGGACTTCACTACCCACAGCACGACCAGGCAGATGATCTGGATGCTCGTGAACAGGTGCATGCGCCAGGTCCTCACCTGCGGGAGGAGGCTGGGGTTACTGCCCGCCCTGTCCTGGCGCCCTGCAACCCCCACCCCACTCTGGGCTGGGCAGCCAGGAGGGCTCTGTACCCGCTTGACGTAGGGCACAACCGGGTGGTACTTGGACGGCTTGAACAGAAGCAAGAAGCGGTCGAAGAGCTGGATGCCACTGAGGGATGTGACCCCCATGTAGAGGAAGATGCCAAACAGCACAGCCAGGGGGATGAGGGACAGGATGGGCCCCATGAGGATGGACACGCCTGCAGGGAGAACCACACACTCTTAGCCCTGGGGGGCCCCAGAGGGCCGGCAGCACCAGGGGCTGGGGAATGAAACCACAGGCACCATAAGAAGCCCTTTCTGTGGATCCTTTTAATAGGTATTACCCCCATGTTACAGATGGGAAAACAGACTCAGAGAGGTGAAGCAACTTGCCTACGACCACACAGCTACTAAGCTGGCCGATCAGGGAGTCAAACTCTGCCTGCCGGATTTCAAAGCTTTTTCTTTTAGCCTCAGCGGATCACAGAGGTCAGAGAAGCCCAGCCCAGAATGCCCCCACCCCCTTCCACCTATCCAAACCCTAACCCCCCTCCAGCTAACACCAACTTTGCCTCCTTTAAGAAACTTCTCCAGAGGGTCACTTCCTCTATCAGTGACCGTGGTGCTGCCCACACTAAGCCCAGCTGGGCTCTCCGCGGCTCCAGAACTTGGATCAACTCCAGTGACCCTCCGTATTCTCTCCCACCCCAGATTATGCCTGGAGCACTGCCCTTGGCATCAGTCACAGAGCAGTCAAGCTAGAGAGACCTCAGGGGCATCTAATGACCCCTCTTATGGTACAGACAGAGAAACTGAGGTCCAGAGACAAGGAGGGATACTAGGTTAGCAGCAGGGCAGGGCTGAAACCGAGCATTCACTGAACTTCTGTTGGTTAAAACTCTGAATTCTGGATCCTATCTAGAGAAGTCCTCCGTAAAGGATCCCCCACCCCCACTTCCTCCCCCGCTCAGATGTCCATCTCAGTGCCTTGGAAATTTCCTCCAGAGTTCCCTCATGTGAACAGCTAACACAGGGGAGATACGGGCAGGGGGTATGTGGGGGAGACCAGGCTACAGCGTGGACAGGGCTGGAGAAGGCACTGGATCCTAAGGGGCAGGGGCTAGGGGCCCGGAGCGAGGCCAGGGGGTGGTAGAGAGTGTAGCCAGCTCTTACTCACCCACGAGCACAGCGACCAGAAGCCCGCTGATCCGCTGCTCCCTGACGGCTTTTATCTGCGGTGCGGCCCCCGGAGTGCTGTCCTTGACCATGACGGTGAGCGCATTGGCGTGGGTGATGGTACGCACGGTTGTGGCACTGAGCCAGGGCAACCCAAAGAGGGCAGCCACACCGCCCATGCCTATAATTAGCAGCAGGTCCAGGTGGAAACCAGAGCCTTTGACCATCTTGCGCTCTGGTTTGCTGATAAGCAGCCTGGGGGTGGGGGTGGGGGTGGGCGGGATGCGGTGGGAGGTCAGGGCTAAGCAGTGCTCTTGCTTACCCCCACCCTCTTTGCCCCCTCCTTCCTTCTCCCCACTTGGATCTCTCTGTATCTTATTTATCCTGCTGTGTCCATCTCCCTTAGAGTTCCTTGCTCCCCTCCCTCCCACCCCCTCTTGAGAATCTAGACTCTAAAAGAGAAGTATCTTTAGATTTCGCCTAGAACGTCCACAAGCAGAGGTACTCTGCAGCTAATGAATCTGAACTTCAGGGAGTCTCGCTGGTACAGGTCCCTCCTGAGTTCCAGCTCCTCACTCTGAGTTCCCATTTTGTATTCCTTTTCTTCAAAAGGCTTCCCCAAATTATGCAATGTCAGGTCCCACCAGACCTGAGCCTGCCCCTGTCCATCCATCACTCCTGCTCATCCGGAGGGGCCACAGGTTGGACTGAGACTTGCGCTCGGTCCTTGGTGTCATGCCTGCCCGGAGCCTGTCCCTTTCCCCACCTTGGGCCCTCCCGGGCTCAGCCCCACCCTGGCTCTTACGTGGTGATCTGGGACTCGAGGAAGATGAGGATGAAGACTAGCAGGGCAGGCAGGACGGAGGCAAACATCATCCAGAGGGGGAAGGGCGAATACAAGCCCAGAGGGTGGATGATCCAGCCTCGGATTGAGGAGTTGGACACGGACAGGCCTTTAGGAACACTGAGTTTCTGTGGGAAGGCGATGCTGGTGAGAACACCGGGGGATGGGGGGTGGGGGCAGGGAGGCAGGGGGTGCCAGGGGCCTGGGCACTTGGGAACTTACTTCTTTTGAGCAACTACTTTGTACCCAGTCATTGCACTAAGCCCTTTATGTACATCTTCTCATTCCCAGTGTTATAGATGAGGAAATGGGATCAGAGAGGCTATGTAATTTGCCTTGCATCACACAGCTATTTGGTGGCAGAACTGAGATTCACACTCAGATCTGCCTGGCTAAAGCAGATTCTTTGGGGTAAAGAGGCGTTCTGACCCAGGCCCTTGCTTCAGCCAGAGGGGTCCTGTAGGGCTGTGGGAAGAACTTGGGGCTCTCAGGGGAAGCAGAGATGAGTAAGGATAGTTCTAGCTGGCTTTAGGTTTGGGAAAGCTGTTCTCGGGAGGGGGATACTGGGAGAATGAAATGACAGTGGGGAGAGAGAGGGTCACCTGGGTGTAGGTGTCTTTGATGAAGAAATCCACTAGGACCATGATCAGAATGGAGATGGGAACCCCGAAGTCTCCAATGACCCGTCGCAGCTGAGGGCAGAAATCAGGGGTCAGTGCCTGGTTGTTTCCCCACCCCTCCTGCCTCTTCTTCACCCAGGGCGCCTTGTGCTTCTCAGGGAGTCCATCCACATCTAATGCCCTGTCCTGCACCTCAGTGTACCTGCCTCCTTTCTTCTCCCCCTGGCCCAGCCCAACCTCTGGCCTCTCAGCTTCTCCACCCCTTTTCTAAAAGCTGTCCTTGGCTCCCCGCTTGCTTCTCAGCCTGGGCATGCTAAGAAACAGAGATGGGCTTGCCTGAAGAGTGAAAGCCTAGATGAGGAGGGGATCAGGGAGGTTTGGAACAGGGAATGGGAATCTAGGGTAAAAAGGAGAGCTAAGGACACTGAGGAACCTAGAAGCATGCTTCGGACTGAGAGGGGGCAATGTAGGCAAGGGCAGGGTAAGGGGAGGTGTGCTCACCCAGCCAGGAAAGTAGGAGCTGTTCTTGAACTTGCGCAGTATCATGGCTAAGAAGAAAGTACCCGCCATGAGCACAAGGGAGAGGAGGGCTGTATTAGGCAGGGGAGCCTGAGGTTTTGGCACTATTGTCACGTTGTAGTCATATTCTTTCTGCAGTGGATGGTCCTGGAAGATCTGCAACAGAAAACCAAGGCATTCTATTCCCTCTCATCCATCTATCCATCATCCATCCATCCATCCATCTGTCCATCACCCATCCATCAATCTGTCCATCATCTATCCATCCATCCATCCATCATCCATCCTTCATCCATCATCCATCCATCTGTCCATCATCCATCCATCCATCCATCCATCTATTATCCATCCATCCTCTTATCTTCTTAACTGGCAGGGTAACAGAGGGACAATGGGATTCTATAGCTTGGCTTTTGGGAGCATAGACCAAGCTCGGCTTGGATGGGGTTAGGCCATGGTGGCAATGAGTACAAGTGTGTGTGCACGTGAGTATGCAGGGACTGGGAGGCCTGAGAAGGCTGGTGGGCAAGAAACAAGTGCCAAGGGGGTTTCTAGAAAGGGCTTCAAAGACGTGGAAACAGAAAGCCCCACCAACCAACAGAATCAGGGGCAGACACGCAGTGTCCACCCTTCCTCCATATAAAATGCAGATGCAGAGATAGGCATAGTTTAAGGTGACTGAGGTGAGGGGGCAGGGAGCTCCAACCACAGGCCCTGTGGTTCTGGAGGTGAGTGCAGAGAGGGCATGCAGCACTGGACATGGGCACACAGAGGCCCAGGCACCATGCACAATCACAGCAAGAGTACCAGCCCACAGGGGTCCTGGGGGGCTCAATCAGTTAAGCATCTTACTCTTAGTTTTGGCTCAGGTCATGATCCCAGGGTCGTGAGATCGAGCCACATGTTGGGTTCTGGGCTGGGTGTGGAGCCTGCTTGGGATTCTCTCTCTTTCCCTCTGCCCCTCCCCGTCTCATGCTCCCATTCTCCTTCTCAAAAAAAAAAAAAAAAAAAAAAAAGAGCACTGGCCCACAGGCAGCAGGTGTCAACATGAATGTGGTCACAGCCACACACTGTGAAGACACAGCTGCACAAGTGCCATATGGTCACGTGTGCAATGACACACACGGTCACATGGTGTGTGCACATGTTTGTGAGCACTGCCGTGGCCCCCACCTTGATCAGCTTGAAGAAGGTCTCAGAGATGAAAATGAGGGAGATGAGGATGGAAAAGATCTCTTGGGTGTAGCGGGAGATAAACTGGACCAGGAAGCTGCCCTCGAAGGCCACAATGAGCACCACTAGCAGGACGAGCCAGAAGCCGATCCACACGCGGCCCACGATGTACTCCAGGTTGTTACTGCTGCAGAACTGCAAGGCCGGGAGAGGGGGAGGGTCAGACAGACAGGCCCAGGCACCGCGGGTCGGGTAGGTGGGGAAGGGCCAGAACAGAACTACCGAGAAAAAGGCTTCCTCAAACACGAGCAGCGGTCCTGAGAAGCCAACCACAAGCAGCGGCTGAGCCCCGAGCAGGGAGAAGATGATGCCCTGGGCTGCCGTGGAGATGAGCAGCTCTGACACCCCCATGTGGTTATAGGTCTTTTCTCCTGCAGGTAGAAGTGATAGTGTGGTCAAGGCCAAGAGGTCACTTCCAGGGGCCCATAGAGCGTTTCATGGGCAGGCCAGTGCAGGGGCCCAGACTGTCAGCTCGGTTCGGAAGGCCGGGCCGACAGAGAGGCCAAAGGGTCGGGGGTGGGGGGGGCCTGCAGAGACACTGACCCAGGAGGCCGCCGAAGGTGATGGCAGGTGACAGCGCAGCGAAGTAGATGAAGATAACGGTAGCCAGGACCTGGGGGCTGAATGCGTCTATGATGTCGCTCGGATAGTAGGGGTAGCGGCGCTTGATGTCACGTATGAGGCCCCCAAAGAACTGGCCTGTCCGCCGTAGAGGGTCTTCCGGGCCGCCAGGGGCCTCCGGACCCCCATTTAAATCTGCAGTCAAGGACAGGACTGTGGTCACAGAGGGCAAAAGGAGGAGGTGTGGGGAGAGAGGAATCGAGGGGAAAGTCTTCCTTATTTTTACGTTTATATATTTTTTTTTTGAGAGAGAGAGAGAGAATCCCAAGCAGGATCCGAACTGTTAGCACAGAGCCCAGCAAGAGGCTCAGACTCACAAATTGTGAGATCCTGACCTGAGCTGAAATCAAGAGTCGGACACCCAGCCGGCTGAGCCACCCAGGCGCCCCGAGGGGAGAATCATCTGCTGGGAATGGGGTGGCCAGGGAGGCTGGGAGACAGGAGGACAGAGAGAGGGGACACCAGGGTATTGGATGTGGGGATGGGGGGCAGGGCCCCGCAGGGCTGTGCCGGGGAACCGGAGGGTCTCTGGGGGCTGCAGGGTAGGCACCTAGGCCCTTGTAGAGTCTGGGCTCCTGCTTGATCGCGCCCGCTCGTCTCTGCACCAGCTGCCTCTGCACGGACACCAGGCTGAGCAAGTCCTGCTCAGAGAGGACTTCGGAGGGAGGAAGCACCAGGCTGCAGTCCAGGAACTCCCCCAGGTTCTCCACCAGCTCCTCCCGGCTCTGGGCCAGGTAGGCCTCAACGCGGAACACCTGGGGGCCAGAGAGAGCGTCAGGGCTGCCTGGATCTGCTGGACGGAAGGACCCAGGAGGCCACATCCAGGGCCTCCAGGAACCAGAACCCTCTCCCCCAGCTCCTTCATGCTAGGCACTGCTTTCCTGCCCCGCCCCCCTCACCTTTATGCCCACCACGAAACGGTTTTGTGCCCACGGGAGGCAGACAGGGCATCGAGTGGGGAGAGGAGAAAGCACGAAAGCAAACCAGGGAGCGTTCAGCAGGCCAGATGGAATTACAGGAGCCTAGGCCAGACCAGGCCAGACCTAACCCGTCGGAACCGGGTCAGAGCGGCCACGCTAGACCAGGCCAGATCAGGCAGCGCCAGGCCAGAGCCTGGACTACCTGTCCCTGGCCAGACAGGGCGGAAGGAGCTGGGTTAGACCGAATGTGCCAGACTAGCAGAACTCAAGCGGCCCAGGCTGGTCCGGCGAGTGACGTCAGCCGCCACCCAGCCTCAGGCTCCCCCCGCCCTCGCCAGCCCCTCCTCACCTTCTCCGACATGAGGGTGGCCACAGCCCGCCCCAGCTGAGTGTAGTCGGTGTGGGGGGCCTCGGGTCCCAGCAGCACGAAGAGGAAGCGCACGGGCACTTGAGCCTCCACGGTCTCCTCCAGCAGTGACGGGGCCTTCTTGAGAGGCAACTGGGCCTCCTTGTGCGGCAACTGGGCCTCCTCGTGTGACAACTGGGTCTCCTCATGTGGCAACTGGGCCTCCTCGTGTGGCAACTGGGCCTCCTCGTGTGGCAACTGGGCCTCCTCGTGCGGCAACTGGGCCTCCTTTAGCGTCGAGGCCTCCTTTAGTGTCGAGGCCTCCTTTAGCCGCACAAAACCCAGCACCGGCCGCTCCAGGAACTTTGCTCGGCCTGCAGGGGGAAGGGCGACGGGGAGGGGTCACACCAGGCTGAGGGGGGCTGCTGAGGCCAGCCGTGCTCAGGTAGAGGAAGGCTGGGCCAGGGAGGGAGGCAGAAGCAGGGGGTGCGGAGGGAGAGGGCGCACCAGCTCCTTACCCACTAGCACCAGGGTGGCCTCCGAGTCTGGGGGCATCTTTTCCAGAATTCTAGATGGTGAATGCCCTTCTATGTTTTCATCTCCCTGTTGGAAGGAGGGGTGAAGGGATGCCTCCGGCCCCTCTGAGCATTCAGCCCCCTCCTTCCCTAACCACTCTCAGGTCTGTGCATGTTCATGCGGGTAGCGCTGCCCCTGCTCCAGCCTCACCTTCTTACAGAAGAGCTGCGTCTCTAACGAAGGGTGCTGGGGGAGCAGAGGTTCTGAGGGGTCCCCAGAATGCGTCACAACTGTGGGCTTCACAGTCCCCAAGTCCTGCCGGTCTCTGTCATGGCTGCAAGAAACACAGGGGGTGTGGACTGAGTGAGCCGTCCGGGCTGGGCTGTTAGGAGCGTGGGGCCCCTCGGTAGGAGGGATCAAGCAGGGTTTCCCAGTGACCAGACCGGAGAGACCCTGGGGCAGGAGCACAGGCCACCTCCTTTGGAAGGACGTGGTGGATGCAAGCGGATGGCCTCCGTCTGGAAGGACGAGGTGGAGCCAGGATGGATGGAGGGAAGGGCCTCGGGAGCTTCGCCTCCTGAGGACCAGTAGCCCCGAAATCTGAACGTGGACACATGGCCACCCCTCAAGAGGCGTCAGAGGCAGGAGCCATCAGGGAAGAAAAGGGGGCCCTGGTCTGGCAGGGGAGGGGCCACCCGGGCCTCTAGGGAGACCTGGGGGCGGGCGAGCTGGGGGAGGGGCGGGCCCTTTGGCCGAGGAGTCAGGTCCCCACAGACAGGAGCACCTGTGCTGGAGCAGCAGGACCCGGAGCAGCGTCTCTCGGTCGTCAGGCCGGATCTGATCCTCGTAGATAAACCTGTCCAGCAGCTGGTTGGCCACCCCCGCCAGGGAGGTCTCTGGCAGGTCCAGGAGGACAGTGCCTGCAAGGGGCGGCGGGGTGAGCGGGGTGGCCGGATGTCGGCCCTCCTCCCCTCCACCGAAGCCGTCCTTGCAGGGGCTGCAGAGGGGCCCGGCGGGGCTCACCCTTGGCAAAGGCTTTCCGCAGCTGCAGGAGGCTCCAGAAAGTGAGGTAGGACAGGTGCGGGCAGCCCCAGGTCCCGTCCTCCCCTAGGTTCTCCTCCAGCCGCATCCAGTGCGCCACCTCCATCCACCGCAGCTCGTGGTTCTTTTCATCCATCACCAGCTCGTGCAACTCCACGTAGACCTGCAGCCCCGCAAGCCTGAGTTAGTCTGAGTTAGTCTCTTGGGCCGGAGCAGCCTCCTGGGGAGAAGACTGGCAGCCCGGGCACGGTGCGCCCTCCGCAGGCTCTGGGAGATGTTTGGGGGAGCCCCAGGGTCCTGGGGAGCACTGGGGGCAGACCCTGAGCTCAGAGGCGGCCTGCAGGAGCAGCAGCCTGGGCCGGTTGAGCAAGGCAGGAAGCGTGGGGAGAGGGGCAGCCCACACCTCTGGCTCTATTCCCCATGACTCCGTGACCAGTCTCCTCACCCCCATTTCAGAGGCATTTGGAGAACCTCTGGACCTAAAGGGGAGCTAGAGAGGACGCCTGGGAAGAAAAGGAGAAGGAAGACTTTGGGGTCATCAGGTGGGTCTCCTGCCTTGAACGGGCTCGGCATCCCCTTCTGTATCCTTGGGGCCAGTGACCACCTCCTGGAGCCTCGCTGAGGGCGGCCCCGAGCAGCTAGACAGGCTGGTGCCCAGCTGGGAAGTGCAGGGCCTGGCGGGCCCGGGCAGAGGGGGACACGTATCTAGTTCTGTGTTCCCCCAGTGACAGCCTGCCCAGGGCCAGGGGACCTTGGAGGGCAGGCCCCCAGCAGGTACTTTACCTCTGCCCAGGGCTCTCCCTGCTCAGCCTCCCCATCAGCGAGGGGTGGCATCTTCCATTCTGCCTATTTCCCGGGGTGCCCACTCCTTCTCTACCTGGTTGTGGGCTTCGCCGATGCGGAAGCTGTGTCCGTCCCTCTCCGCCCCCCTTCCCCTGGTAGAAGGGCAGGTCCCATGGGCAACACAGAAAAGAGAACTGAGGGGAGCCCAGGGGTCCTCACCTCGTGGGTCTCCGGGTCTCTGGGTCTGATTTGGTAGTCTGTGGCTGTCGGCTGGTCTAGTTGAGCTGAAAACCCAGAGGCCAGTTAGTGCTGCCCCCAGATAATGGTCCCCTCAGGGTCTTCCTGCTCCACCCACAGTGGGCCTCAGCACAGCACGAGATGAAGCCCACTCCCTCCCATTGTCGCTGGCCAGGACCGGGGGGCCCGCACCCCACCCACCCCACCCCTGCTGCTCGATGGGCCCCCTGTGTCCATTCTTGGCCCGGCCTGGCTCTGCCATGCCCCATCCAAGCATTGCAGAAGACCCTCAGAACTCATCTTCAGTGGTGACAGAGAGGGTCACATCCAAGCTGGAGGGTCCTGAGCACCAAGTCTTAGGATTCTCCTTGGATCCCTTCCCTCTCCCGTCACCTTCTGGGACCAGATTCCCTACCTTTCCCCGCTGGCCTCAATGATCCCACCAGACCCCAAACTCCTCTCTGTCTGCAAGTGGAGCACCGGGAGCCAGGCTGGGGTCTGCCTTATATAGCCCCCCACCCCCCACCCCTCTCCCAGCCCTCATTTCTCAGAGGGGCCTCTTATCTTCAGTACTAATTGCCAGCACTTAAGTCCTGTTGACAGTAAACAGGTCCCCACCTGGGGCTCCCCAACTGAGACCTTGGCAGGGCCAGGAAGATTTCCTGATGTCTCTCTGCCCTGGGGGGGGTCCCCACGGCCCCCCATTTCTGAGGGCCTCTATGCCCCCCAACAGAACGATGCTCTCAGGACAGACCCAGTGCCTGGCCAAGAAGTCGGCGTTGGATGGATACAGATGGCCGGTGGACTCCTGCCCTTGTCCCAGACAGGCCTGGCTGCCCTGTCCCAAATGGAAAGGCCTGGCCATGGGTGACTGGTTCTGCCCACTCCCCAGCCCCCCCCCCCCCCCCC